CATTGCAAAGCTGCCACCGGCCCTTTGGCGTGCTGCCAAGGATATTTGACTGCCTGGAGTCGTTCTCTGTGGATTTGCCAGGCTTTTTCGAGGTCTCGTCCCAGGTGCTCCGGCCAGTTGCCATAGAACCGATGGTAAAGCCTGACCTGATCTTCAAAGGCTCCGTAGTCCGGATCACGATGTTGCGGCATCATGTCGAAAAGGATGTCCACATTTTCTGCAATCCCATCTGGCGGCCCATGGTAGCCTTGAGACGCCGCCTGACTTGCGGAGCCAGGCCCATTGCCTCATGCCCCCAACTAATGCCAGCGACGATGGACCCTTTGTACAGCTTCAGGCGTATGGACTGCAGCGGGATCTTAAGCGCCTGCAACTTCCTTGTCTTTCTGGCTGCCTTATGTCTGCGGCTCCTCATTGTCTGGATGCGCCTCAATCTCCCAGCCGTACAGTCAACTCCTAGGTCTCTCATCACGTCATGAATGCGTGGACCTCCTTGTGGAAGTTGCTCCTGTAGGATCCGCTTAACTGCGGCATTTGAGCAAACAAACCCAGTCTTTTGTGCAGACACTTTCAAATCATCTTTCTCCAGTTCTGCTCGGACAAAGTTGTATGCTTGGATGGCAATCCTTGCTGCATTGTGTGGGTCCTTGTCAACAACATCGAAACTGAGGTCGTCGATCCAAAGGTCTGTGTGCAGCTGAGGATATCTGCGGTGGAACTCCTTCATTGCTCTCTGCAAGTAGACTTTGGCAGCTAATGGAGCCTGCGGGTCTCCAGCAAGAATGCCATGGGTGCCCCACAAAGGTTCAGATGCCTCTCCTTCAGCCTCCAGAATCCTGCTTCCGCTGTAAACTTGCATTGCCATCGCTGCATGAGTGGCTGGATATGAGGAGGCAACCCATCTGGTGGCCAGCTTTTGCAAACAGATCCGGTCATAGAAATTGGACAAATCTAACAGCACCGAGACAACTGTGCGTCGATGGGCCGTGTGGTGTTCAGTCATGAAGGATCTCTTCAATGCAACCTGCAGGCATTCAGTCCCAGGAACAGCACGTTCCCAGGGGTACTCAGCTTGGATATTTTGCGACCACTGCTTGGGATACTTGTTGCGGATGCGGCACCAAAGTCGGTACAGAGTGGCAACCAGTGCTATTGGTCTTTCAATCACTTATGATTTTGGCAGCAAAGCTATCAACGAGGCACCCCATTGGTGTGGGATCATGGCCACACTCTCAATGCGATGGAACATGTCCTTCAAGTCAGTCATAGCACTGAAAGGTAAAGCTTTGAGGAAATCGAATCCTATGCCGTCCAAGCCCGGAGCTTTCAACGCCATCTGCTTGATGGTGTACCAAATGTGTGCTTCCGTGAGCGGTTCCATTGCCTTTGCTTCTTGCTGCCCTTTTTTCTATGAGACTTTCCATGCATGGGATGAGGACCGGCTGCTCTTGCACACCCCAAATGTCTCCCCATTGGCTGACCCTCTTGTCCATGCGCTCTTCCCGAGGCAGCGTTTGGAATGGCCGCAGGTATGGGAGCTCATCTTTCTTGAGGGTGCGAAAGAGGCCCTTACAGCCCTGGTGAGCTGCCTTTGCAAGCCACTGCCTGTATTCTTCTGTCTCTTGCTGCATGCTGGTTTGTTGATGCAGTTCACGCTGCTTCTGCGTGTAATTCAGCAAAACATGGATGTGTTCATCACCGTGTTGGTGCCATAGCATCTCAAAAAGCATCTTGTATCCCTGACATGTCACCGGAGCATCGTTGTGCCAGTTGTCCTCTATGTGCCAACCCAATTTCTGAAGGGCACCTTGATGGCGAGGTTCTCTGTCAGCTTGATGCAGCAGCCTTTGCAGCCTGATTTCAATCTGGCCCCAGAATGCTAGGCTCCCCTTCCTCCAAATCCATGGCTTGCTGGGGTCATTCAGCGGCTTTTGTACATAGTGCAATGCTGTGCCACGGCCTAGGTGTGGCGCCTCAAGGTTTTGCAAGACATACCGCTCAATGCGGTTGTACAGATTGCCAACTTGATTTGTCAGATTGTCCGCCTCCTTGTTGAGCCACTTGACTTGAACTTTCTGCTCTTCAACTTGGTGCCAGTCTTTGGCCAGATTTTGCAGCTTCGGTGCTGGTCCGAACTTTGACAGCTGCCGAACAACCACTGCTTCGAAATGGCCTGCAAGGCTGAACTTCAACATGGCATGGGGTTTGAAAGGGACCATCCAATCGGCTTGGACTTGCGTGTCAGCTATCAAGATGTTGGAAACCAAGGCCCAATCAAGTTCACTACCTGTGTTGCATGTCTCTTCGCCGGTGGCCAGGATCTGCACTTGCATGGCCTGTGCCATTGTCGTGGTGCTGAAAGCTTCAGGTGTCACGTTGAAGTCACCAAAAACAACCACCGGTTTCTGCAGCTGCTTTACAAAGGCAACAAGACTGCCCCATAAAGTGGAGTTGGTTGGTCCTTGCAAACCTTCGCCACATTTGAAGTAGGTCATGATGAGCACGATGGTGCTATTGGCAAACGACCAACTGACAGCGTACCATCCGCAGCCCTCAACCATCTGTTTGTGCAGGAAGTGGAAATGCAGGTGCCAAGGGTACACCATCAGCAGGCCTCCATAGGTGCCTCCTTTGACACTGACTGCTGCAGGCTCCCCCAAAACTCCCAGACCTCGTGTGGCGAACCATTGAACCATCTTTTCATGATCCCCCGGGCCCAGGTGTGTTTCAACCATGAAGAGCGGCTTTCTGGGGCGGGTGACCACCCATTGCCTGACTGACTGCCCCAGCTGAGTGACATTGGCATAGTCAAACTCAATGCTTTCTTTGCGCCCACGTTTGGGAGTCGGCTCCAGTGATTTGCTTTGGTTGTCGTCAATGTCACTGCCTATGTTGTCAGGAAGCAATCGGCTGGAAGGTATTGCCCACACTTGCACTATCTGCTGCTTAATCTTCTCGCTGATGCCCGGAATGGCCTTGGGATAGGCCCCATCATCAACTAACCAGTACAGCCCTCGGTAGATGAAGACTGCAAAGAAATGCCCTTCCTGGTGCGCTGTGCCCGAGTGGCACAGGAAACCAATGACTGAAAACTGCTTCGTTTGCGTCTCCTTCCCGTCCAATGTCAAAGGCAGGTTGAAAATGGAGGGAACTCGAAGCTCTCTGTGGTGTTTTGTCCACTCCCCATCAACTTGCCTATAGCGTCCGATCTGTGCCACCCAAAGCCCTTGGCCATCAAAGATTTGGCCCTCAGCTTTGTTGGCCCATCCCGCGATGAGCTGCTCAAGCTCAGAGGTGCCTTGATCTTCAGGAAAAATCAAATGCATTGGGAAGGCTCGACATTGGTGGACCACTTGCCTGTGGTCAACATGATGGTAGCCCTGGATCACACTGCCGGTGTCGGCCAGAGCCACAAGTTCTTGCAAGAAGTGGGAGGCATCATCTTGCTTGGTGTCATCGAATTGTTCCCAGAGCTTCTCAATGCCTGGGAGGTTCGGGAGATGCACAATGTCATCCGCCCTCAATGCCTCCATGACTGCCCGTGTGGTGTTTGCCCACAGCTGTTGTCCGTCCATGAAACTACCTGCCCAGGTCCAAAGTCGAAAAGCAGCGTTGGCAAAACATCGATTGTTGGGGTTGCCCAGTCTGCATTGCAAACACTGAGCCACAAAATCGAGCGGGCCCAAATGACCCCGCATAGTCTCATCCTTCTCAACTTCTTCATCTTCGCTGGTTGGGATCATCATGACGTCATGATCACCAGCGCCCCCTGTGAAGCCGGGAAAAACCCCAGCTCCGAAGGCCATCTGCTGGATGGCCTGAGTCCCCATGTCAGGACACGAAGAGGCTGGCCCCCCACATCCTGAGCCAAAAGCTGCACAACCAGTCGCTTTGCTCTCTGTGTCCCCTGAAGAAAAAGCATAGCTAATAGTTGTGTCATCCCCTTGCTGAGCTTTTGCCTGCTGCATGGTGTTACCCGCACTTCCTTCTTTTTGCGGCTGTTTCACCAAGCTTCACCGCCAGGTCTTTCACCTGTGCGGATGTTGCCTGCAAGCCTACACTAGCCATTGCGGTGACCAGGGCTTCAGGCGAAAGCTCGTCTGCCATTTCAGCATCTTCTTGTTTTTGATTCTCCAGCTGCTGATTGTATTGCGATGTAGTCGTCTGCAGATCCTTTTGTGCACTCTCTATCTTTGTCTGCAGCTCCTTGAGGTCTTGCAGCAGCTGTGTGTATTGCGTCTTCACTGCATCGGCCTTGGCCTGTATGGCTGCCTTTTTCTCAGTGAGTTGTTTCAAGGTCCCCACAGCTTGCTTCACTTTGGATGCTAGTGGCGGCTCCGGCTGACTGGGTGCCACCAGCTTTTCAACCGCCTCCTTGAGGTCCGTGGGAAGGGAACTTAAATGCTCCTTGATGAGGGTCGGCAGGTCTGGTGTTGCTGGTGCCTCCACTTCCACTACTCCCATGGCCTGGCATTTCTCCTTGAGAGCAGCCGGAAGCTGGTCCCAGTGCTCCTTCAGGGCCTTGTGGATGGCCGGTGGCTTTGCCTTTTTTGCCTTCTTGCTTCTTTGGCCTCCATAAAGACCTGGCGGTGCCTCTATCAGCGCCTCCTTGAAGGTCTTGGTGGGCCACTTTTGGCCTGATCCATCAAAGTTCCATGGCGCCCAAGTCACCCTTTTGGATTTTCGCAAATCCGGTAGTTGCTCCTTCTGCCACCTTGCTCCACACTGATTGCATTGTAGGTGCGGTTGTGTTAACAAACGATCGCCCCAGATCCAGCTTTGTCTGCACTTAGTGCAGACCAAATACTGCCTTCTCATGTTCGGTCGCGATCTGGCCCCTGTGCTCGTCAAACACGTGGTGTTCTGGTAGATCGTCTTTGCCAAGTGCCCGTCAGGTCACTTGGCTTGATGCTGAAATGGCTTGAGCCAATGTATATATATATATGTATTATATATATATATACATGTGAATCTCAAAAATGACCTGCTGCCGTAGACCCAGGTGGTTACCCGTCCTCGTCATCCACCTTTGTGGTACGAGAGCAGGCCTTGGGGACTCGCCACATCATGCCAACTGATGCATGCATGCGAGGGTTCAAGGCAGCTTCTCACGGAAGAAATTCCCTTGAAGAACCCCTTGCTGTACTACGTCCTTCCATGTTTCCTGTGGCCACAGTGGCTATCTTTTACACACCGAACAAGATTCTTTGCCCGGTCCAAGTGAAGATTGGCAGGCACGGGATGGCAACTGCCTGTTCCGTTCGTTTTCGGATCAGGCCGCGAAGCTTCCCTGGACGGGGGGTTCAATCAGTAGCCGCTACAGAGATTGGACTACACAAATGAGACTACACTGTACTACACTGTACGTGATTGTTTCCAAAAGTTTATCATCCTAGCATGGCTCCCACAGGAAGTCATGTGGCCGAGACAATTTTGGACAGGTGTACGGGTGTCCCGACCACCATGCACTTCTGAGGGACAGGCCTTGCAAGTGTTTTTTCCTTTTTGAGAGAGTTGTTGTAGAGTTTGGTTGCATCAGATGAATTGGAAGGTGCACCAAGTACATTGCCAGCGAGCGGAACTACTTCGAGCAGTTCGTGGCAGAACCGTTTGAACAGCTTTGGACTTAGTTTGATTCACTGAGAGTTCTGTTTGTGTACTCTCATCCATAGTGACAAATTGTTCCTGCTGATGTACTCAATCCTCAGCAACTCAAAAACCTCCGTGACAGAGTTGTACAACCAGAGTTGTGTAATATCCGGAGTCGGCGTTAACCGCTATCCAATACTAGACTGGTGTATTTTTTTTTGCACAAACAACTTGCAGATAACATGCAACACCTGCTGTCAAGGGTGTGTGTGTAGCAATATGTAGCAACAAAAAAAACAATTGGCAAGTACCGTCTGCGTATGGTGAGACTGTTGTCGTGTACTTTCTTGCCAAAGAACTTCCCTAACAGCATGTGCTACCCCCATTCTTTGAAGGCGTTCCTGCGCAAGCTCCTGCTTGGAGCGTGTAAGACTTGGTGTTGCATAGTGTTCGGTGCAATCGATATGATATAGCAAATTGATTTAGGTGTGCAGAGCAGATCACCTCAACATTTGGCCCGGCAACTTGTGCAGGTTTCTGGCTCGAATTCAACGAGAAGGAGAGTGGGGTGACGATGTGGAGATAGAGGCTGGTTCGGGGTGGCCAACATTCAGATCTCCTATTCGTATCAGCCAGGTTTGGCAAGATTGTCAGTTATTTGTTGTTTGATTCTTCTGAATCCTTCTCTTCTGGAATTTCAGATGTTTTCCTTCCTCCCTTCCTTCCTTCTGTCTTTCTGTCTTTCCGTCGTTCTTTAATTTGTTCTTTCGTTGGATTCACAATTTTGTTTTGACTTCTTGCCGCCAACTGGCTGGTTTTTTTGGAGGGTGTACTTTCCCTTCACTAGGAAGAGCATCAATCCATGCAAGGAATGCAGGTTATTTTTCCTCGTTTGGATGCTGTTCAGCTTGCCCGTTGCATTTGGTCCAGCGGACTTGGGAATGTGTAGATTAGATTGCGTTTTCTCTCCCAGGAAAAGCAACCTACCCACCTGTGATCATATATCTAAAGAGGAGAGCGGAGCAGACACTGGGCGCTTGCGATTGCAGCCTGCAGGCTTTGTCAGAGATCTACGACTGCCGAGCACAGAACTCAGTTGTGAGGCTGAGGTACAAGCTCATACATGTACATTGCATCACACTAGGATCACTGCTAGTAGAGGAAGAGCTGGGAAGGCTCACCAGCTCGTACTAGACCGGTTCTCTAATACCCAGAGCAAATCATCACCAGCTTCCTGAAAAAGCAAGCTTATCCCTAGATGAGATAAATCATGGTTCTCATCGACGATGACTGCAGCTCTACATATATATATATAGTTTTTTCAGCTTGCCGATCTAGGCTGTCCAAGCTTTTGTACACGCAGCCCACCGTTGCACGCCAACTCGACAAAGGTAAGAGTTGCAGGTTGAGGATGTTTATGGTTAACAATAGTGCCAGAGCATACTAAATGAGTTCTATTTCTTAGCATATGTAACTCAGTGTTCTCGGATAGCATTTCAGCATGTGATCAAGCCTTTGTTTGACCGAGGATGGACTAGTGACTAGTGACAGTGATGTGGCTTGTCAAGCGGTTCGAGCAGGCAAAACCGACATTTGCTGAGGTTGAGATCTATGCAGCCTATGGTCACTCGTTAAAGCCTTACCCTGTGTTGGCGCCAGAATGATTTGACAGAGTTTTAGAGGCATTGCCTCCAAACTAGTGTCTCATGTTCAGCGATTCGTAGTGTTCTCGCACTTGGACACAGTGCTGTCAGACTTGGACTTCCAAAATAGCATCTACAGTTTCTCCCCATCATTTCTCCCTGCGCTGTTTGGACTGCAGGCTCATGCGAACCTTCCATGAGGCTTGCGACTCCAAATGGCCGCAGCCAATCAGGCGCAAGAAATCAGGGTGGCCAAGCTTTTACTGGAAGTAATGGGAATGGCCTCCAACCTAAGAGCGATGGCCTCCAGCCTAATAGGGATGGCCTCCAGTTTGTTGCGCCAACTTCCTAATTTGGCGAGGCTGCTCTACGAGGGGCAAGCTCACTATAATTCCTTGGCTCCTCGCAGCCAGAAACTCAGAAAGAGGAATGAGGCAGAACATCAGGGGTCCGACAGAACCAGCTTTCAGCTGGCCAATGAGGTGGCTTGCGGCCCATCCTCCAGCTGCGGCCAGGGGAGATGGAGGATGCTGCAATCAGTAGGTCAAGACGAAGGAATGAAGTGGCTCCCTGAGCGGACTTCCAGAAAGCCCTTCTTTTCGAAAGGGGACATTGGGATTTGTCTCCTGAAAGCTGGCATCAGACTGAAACTCAATACTTTGCCAAATCTGAATGCATCTTCCAACTTGTGTTCCTTGGAGTCTACACCGCACCCTTGGTCCATCCATGCGTTTCAAGCACACCTCAGCCATGCCTGTCCTCCAAATGAGGCTGGGCTACGTCGACCTGGTGCCAAGGAGCATGATGCGCAGCTGACCGAGCAGGAGGCATGCCAACAGGGCCGACCACGTCGACGCATGCCTTCCACGTTTGCACTCCTGCACAAAGACGACCTACAGTATTGTGGTTCCCGCAAGCCAACCACAGGATCATCACCAAACAGGAGTTACATGGTGTTACCTTGGCTCCAGTGTACATTGGTTTCCATCGGTTTCCCGAAAACCGAGGTGCTCCAAGAATCAGTGCGGCTTAGCCGCTTGGAATTCGAGCACAAGTCGGAGGCACAGATGGCCCGGCGACTGAGAAGCCTTCCGCTGGTCTTATTTTGGGCATCCTTCAATGACCAGACCACGGTCCCATGTACTGAGTTGTGAGAGCTTTGAGCTTTGATTGCTGCAAGCAAGATAATGTCAAACAAGTGATTGATCAGTCAATGTGTTTGTAATGTCAAACGTTCCACCGGTCCATTTTAGATTGGGGATCACATGTATGCTTGGCCAGATGCTCGCTGAGGACAAGGCCTTGCAAGATTCACGAAATGAATGGGAGAAGTGATGAGCCCAAGAAAAGTGAAGAATCCGTGAGCGAAAATTTGATGAAGATGTCCCGTAGTTTTGACGGTGGCTCAAATATCTGCAGATGAAGGGTTGTGATCAGCTTCTTGTTTTGCAAGACCATTAGCATCTTCAGGTCCGAGCGAAAGAGAATGGAGGAAGACGTTGTGGATGCCATTCTGCAGCAATCGGTCCGGGAGCCCCAGCAGATGAGTCCCGTCGCAGGAAGGTCTCCGCTTTGGACCTTTTTCAGGTCTTGGAGGAAGAACAGAAGCAGCTGACCTTGGCGATGAAGGAATCCAAGGTCAGGAGGGTGGCCGATTCTCGAAAGTAATTCTTCCAAAATAGAATCAACTAGACTAACTAGACCGTCCATTTTGTCCCAACAAAGTTCAACGCTGGCATGTCGGCAAGACGTGAGACCTTCCGAACTTCCTAGGAGGAGGTGATTCAAAGCAGTCCAGACTTTGCAACGTTGTATGGCATGGCGTCTTGCTGAGCTGGGCAAGGATTAGAATTTCAACTCCAACTTGCGCACAGGTTTGAACCATAAGTGCCATACCATACATCGTGCCTCTTGCTTTTAGAGCTGAGGTGACTTCAGATGTGGTCAGATGCCAAGCTTGGGCATCTAGATCAAAAGAACAAAACAATAGCTAAGGACAGGATCAAAAAAGTAATAATCCTGAGTAGGTCCCCTGGTCCATTGGTCCCCTGGTCCCGGTCCTTTGGTGCCCTAGTTTGTTGGTGCCCTGGTCCTTTGGTCCCCTTGTCCTTTGGTGCCCCAGTCCTTTGGCTCGTGGTCCATTGGTCAAAAGCATGCGGTTTGTGAAACAAAAAGGTGATGGCTTTTGATGCTCGGTTTGCTCTGGGGGAGGTGCTCTTCAAGCCTCCCTCCAGTGCCACGAAGTCTGCACTACTGTTGCCAATGCGCTGCGCCTCCGACGACAACAAAAACAATATTCCAAAGGCCACCAGGCACCAATCGCATATTCACACAAGATTGCACACGCTGGCCATAAGTCTTTTTGATTTTGTGTTGCAAGCACCCTTTCATTGTCCTGTGGTGGATGGGCCCTTCATTGATGGGGCAGTAGGGTGTGTAGTTTTCGATGATGATGTGTTTTGTGGCGCCTTCAGAGTCTGGTTGTTTTTGTTTGCAATCCCCCCGCCACGAAATCTGCATTACTTTTGCCAATGCACTGGGCCTGCCACGACCGACTTTTTAGAGGTCACCCAGCGCATATCCACGCCAAGTATTGCACGCTGTCACCTAAGTCTTTTGATCACGTGTTGCAAACATCCTTTCATGGTCCTTTGGTCGCTCGCCCTGCTGTTGTTGTCCTTTCCCTAGTCTCCTTTTCCTTTCATTGTTCACTGTGAAAATTTGTTGATCCCGTTTTTCATCTTGTCCCTGCCGAATATTTTCTTGTGATGCTATTCAATTTTTTACCAAACAGTGTGGGCACACTAGGGGTTCTTACGGGAGTAGAAAGCAGCTGATGCTTGGGATCGCTGAAGCGCGCGGGCTTGACCGGCTAATTCACTGCTATTTACAGCACATTCATGCTTCTCGAAATCGTCGAACTGCGCAGGCTCACAAAATCTGCCTGCCGCCGGTGGGTGCTTCTAGCGACTGCGCTCTCGTTGTGGTGCCGTGCGCATTTTCGCACATGGTGGTGACTTTTCGTGGCAGGCGCAAGGGAAACCTCGTGTTTTGGTGCTCCAAAGTCGGCTTTTCGTGACAGGTGCAATTGATCGGAGCTGTTCTACTTCGAAATGCAGTTTTCGTGGCAGGCGCAGCACTTTGGACATGGTGGTGATCGTCGAGCAGATTTCGTGACAGGTGCAGTGAATCGTGACTTTTGGACTGTGGCTCGTTTGCAGATTTCGTGGCACGCGCAGCACTCTGTGACCCTCGATGTGCAGATTTCGTGGCGCGTGCTCGAAGTGCAGACTTCGTGGCAGGCGCAGCACTTGGTGAACCTCGAAGCGCAGGTTTCGCGGCAGGCACAGCACTTGGTGAACCTCGAAGTGCAGATTTCGTGGCAGGTACAGCACTCGGTGAACCTCGAAGTGCAGATTTCGTGGCAGGTACAGGTACAGCACTTTGTGAACCTCAAAGTGCAGATTTCGTGGCAGGCGCAGCACTTGGTGAACCTCGAAGTGCAGGTTTCGTGGCAGGCACAGCACTTGGTGAACCTCCAAGTGCAGATTTCGAGGCAGGTACAGCGCTTGGTGAACCTCGAAGTGCAGATTCCGTGGCACGCACAGAACGTGGTGAGCCTCGAAGTTCAGGTTTCGTGGCAGACACAGCGCGTGGTGAACCTGGAAGTGTCAGATTTTGTGGCAGGCGCAGTACGTTGTGAACCTCGAAGTGCAGATTTCGCGGCAGGCGCAGTACTTTGCGAACCTCGAAGTGCAGATTTCGTGGCAGGCGCAGCGCTTTGTGCTCTCCACTCTCTCACTCTCACGCCCACCCTCACTCTCACTTCACTCACACACGCTCACACTCACACTCATTCTTCACTCACACTCACATTCACACTCACTCTCACTCCCACTCGCACTCACACTCACTCGCTGCCTCTCTCTCACTCACACTCGCACTCACACTCACACTCACACTCACTCACTCTCCCACTCTCACTCTCACTCTCGCTCTCACACTCACACGC